TAGAATATTTAAATATTCTAATTCTTATAAATATAAACTTATAAATATTAAATAAAGAAATAAAATAATAAAACATATTTAAAGTAGAACATTTAAATATTGTAATGTTTGAATTAAATATATAATTTAATTAAAATATTAAATATTATATGCATATATACAATTATTACTAATTACCAATTAATTATTACACAAACTCTCTCTCTCTCTCTATAATAATTTTTATTTCACATATTACCCATATCACATGGAAACTATCATTAACGATTATGATGCCTCTGAGTACTGATTTATTAAAGTAAAAAAAGTCCTGAGAAGTGTCCTGAGACCTTTGCATGTAAGTTCAGCCAGCTGGGACAGATAATAGAGGAAGTTTCTGTGCGTGAGAGTTATTTTTATTTCTTTTTTTACACCACATGGTAAGATGCCTGACAAAAATGAGCATGTCATGAGTATGAAATATTTGGTTCAAAGAGGTCGGTGTTTACAGCACACATACAAGCTGCAAGTAACACGTGTAAAGTACATGACTTTAGATAACAACAGTGTTTTCTGTTGTACAGCCAGCGGTCAAGTACAATGACAACTTTAATGAGGTCATTGTTTTCAAAACCTCCTGTTGCTGCAGTTCCTCTTTATTGTATGGTCAGAGAACAGAAAGAAACAAACGACAAATACAGAGAATCACACCCATCAGTCCTATTTTTGTGAAGATAAGATACAATGTTGAAAGTTGTTTTGAGCTGGAGGAGAACAGCCAAACAAAGAAGCGCAGAGAGAGAGAGAGAATGAGTGAGTGAGCGGACGTCTCAGAAACCACACTCACACCTTACTGCGGTTCTGACGGAACTGTTGCCAAGCAACCGCACCTCTGCAGGCATGAGACCTTCACATGCAGCAGTGCTATTGACAGCAGCTCGCTTCAGGCCTGTGACAATTAAGCTGGTTCTCAGAAAGCGCTGTTAAGATGTGCGTCTGCTTTGATATCGGTGTGAGAGATAGGACTCGGTTTCATGCTGTCATGTCAGTTTCAGTGCCCTAAACCATGCCCGGCTCTAAAACCAACACAAACGGCCATGACACATTGGGCCAATATTTTAGAAAGGATTGGTCACAAGTCATTTTTACACGCAAAAAATACGGAGTTCATGGAAAGCATGATTTATGTTTTTAAATGACTGCTGACAGTTTCTAAATAAAATGTATACTATTAATTATGGCATCTGACATATTAATGGTGATAAATGTGAATTTGTGTCAATGATAAAGCAATGACAATGAGCGGTGATAAAAACATTGTGATACATGGTTTTGGCTTAATAAAGAAATGCCAACATGAGAATAAAAGGTTACAGTACAAATCTTCCAACTCAATAAATGATTGATGACTAGAAGATGATTTATGTGAAGTATTTAGCTCTAGCTTTGCAGAAAATTGCAGTTCGGAGTTCAGTGGCAAATATTTTTGTGGGATTTTGACAGCCATACTGTATGTTCATGTCACATCAAAGATACAATGGATTTGACTGAGCTAGTCTCATTACTGAAAGTTGTTACCTCCACATAAAATCTTACAATCTAAAATATTTTCAGCTTTTTTCAAAACATAGGCCTATTGCACAGGTAAAGCCAGGGCCGTCACTAGACCTATTTAAGGAAATTAGGAAATATTGCTGTGCATGTAAATTATAACTGATAAATTCTTATGTCAATGGGATTAATGTATACTGTCCTAAGAATCATTTTCTCTGATAATATTTCAGCAATCAAGTCATATGTTTATTCTATGCGCTGTTTAGAATGAATGAATCACTCTGCTGATCTAATTGGTCAAACGGGTTTGCAAAAAAGTCTGCAATGGTTCGTAATTCAGTTGATTTATTCACTCATGCACTGGATCGTTTCACATCGCAATAGGAATGGGATACAGGATAAGGAAAATTCAGGCCAGCTGACAAAAAATTCAGATCCAGTTCTGCGTTGTCTCTAC